CGGGAGAAAAAGAGGCCATTCTTTAATTCATATGAGACTAGGATAACCTTACTATGGTGTACCTCATCCATGCACATGGAGACAAATATTGTAAACAAAATGCTAGGAAGTATACCAGCAATGTATAAAAACCATGAACAAGCTCGGTTAGTAATGCAAATTTAGTTTGATGTTACAAAACCTACTGAAGTTATCTCCTTATCAACAAATTAAAGACAAAAATTATATGATAGACTCAAAAGGCCTATAAAATTATTTTACAAAAATTAAATTATTCATGATATTTCCACCTATGAATAAAGGGTAACTTCCTTAACCTGATAAAAGAAGTCAACAAATAACCTACAGCACCTATCATATCGTGTGGCTAAAAATATTGAAATCACTCCTTTTAAAATCAAGAAAAAGACAAGAGTACCATTGTCACTAAACTGCTTCCAAAGCTTATATGGAAGAGAAAAGGGCCTAGTATAACTAAGACAATCCCATAGAAGAATAAAGTGTGCAAAGGTGGGAGGTGGAGCTTATGTGAGTCTATCATGTACCAGATTTACTGTGAAGTTATAATTATGACAGCACCAATTGCTATTGTGAAAGTCTATGCTTGTGTAAAATCTTGATTTATGCCCTAGCTAACATTACAGAATAGTCAGAAAGGGTCTATATAATCCATTGTATGAGCAATTGGTGTCCATATGGGAAAATATCAGAATGGGTCTCTATCCCCAAAATGGATCCCTATCACACAAAGGCCAGATCTAAATGGACAAATGACTTAAATTTGAGATGCAAATATTTAAAAATCTTTTAGAAGAAAATATAGGAGGGTACCTTATTACATGCCACACCTACTATGTGTACTTTGTACAATGCAAGTGTTGTATATGAGTATAGTATGTAACCGTAGGTGCCTCTAAACAGTATATACATGCTTACTACTTTATAGACATGAAACACTGGGAATGAGATCATGAGAGAAAACCCTAGGTCATTCTGGTTTCCAGACTTCTGTTCCTGCCCACCCCTGGTTCCAGCAATCCCTTTCCCATTCTCCTATCCAGATCCTCTGTTCCAAGCATAGCCACTTACAGCAGCTCAAGCCTGCAGCACCCACGGAGAAGCACTCTTCCCGCTACTGCTGGGCTGTCATGTCCCCTTTCTTTTCTTTCTGAAAAACAGTTTTCTCTGCCTGTGACTCCTCATGTTTCACTCTCTCTAAAGCACACAGAAGCCCGGTTCCCTCCTCTGCTTTATCAAACCTGTTGCTGTGAGTTCCACCAGTGACCCTGCATGACAGATTCGGAGGTTTGCTCCCTTTTGCATAGCGTAAAATGTTTACCTCGTGACATACTTGATAAATACAACTTTATAATTGCTAAGCTATCTATATAGTCTATAACTGTTTTAAAAATTATTTATAGGCTGGGCAAGGTGGTTCACTCCTGTAATCCCAGCACTTTGGGACGCCAAGAGGGGAGGATCACAAGGTCAGGAGATCGAGACCATCATGGACAACATGGTGAAACTCCATCTATACTAAAAATACAAAAATTAGCTGGGTGAGGCAGCACACACCTGTAATCCCAGCTACTCGGGAGGCTGAGGCAGGAGAATTGCTTGAACCTAGGAGGCAGAGATTGCAGTGAGCCGAGATCGTGCCACTGCACTCCAGCTTGATGACAGAGCAAGACTCCGTCCTTATCCCCCCCAAAAATACAATGTCAGTTATGCCATGCATAGATCATTTTTATTCCATAAAACTGCTCTCCATATGTGTAATATGTTTCCAATTCACACATAGTTTTGATCAAAGATTAATCCATTGCATAGATATTTTTCTTAGTAATTAATAAAACTTGATTGGATTTCTTTAGCCAGATAAAACACTTTATACTAAGTGAATCAATCAAAGCTCTTTGTTGGAGTGAGATCTGAAAGCTTTCACTCAAGCCGGCTGCCTCAGCTTCACGGCACCAGATAATGGAGGGAGAAGTGGAGGCTGACATGCAGCAAGAATTACCGTGTGTGTGTCGGAGAGATATTTTGTTTAATTCATTTACGAGACACTCGTGCCGCACTGCTACATGCCAAACAGCTGTTCTTGGTACTTTGTAAAAATTAATCATCTCAAAGTTGAAAAGTTAATTGTTGTAATATGTCTTCAGTACTGCCAATCTCTGGGATTTGGAGCCAAAAAAAAAAGCGTTACCATCATGATTGAGAAATGGAGTTACTGGCAGTCATGGAGAAAACCACGATTCTGCACTTGGACACAGAATTATTCCTGACAAGATCCTGGCTCCTAACTCTTCCTCCAAAACCAAGTCTGCAGCTCCCACAGGAAAGTGCCGCTCCTTTCACCCCAAGTGTGCTCCAGTTGTTCCTTCTCCTCCTTCTCCTTCCTACCAGCTCTATAAGGTCTCCTTCTCCTTCCTACCAGCTCTGTAATGTCTCCATCACAATACTAAGGCCAGGGTCAATGGCACCTCTTTTTAGAAACTTTCTGAGAGCCCTGGAAAGTAATCTCTTCTTGTTCTTATTCCATGATTTCCAGTACCTTCTTTAAATCACTGATGATCATTTGTGTTGTTGAGTTGTCTCCGTGTGCATCTGACCTTTCTCCCAGATGGTGAGTTCTGGAAGCCAGGAAGCATTTTAGAAAAGTAATACTTTTTAGTAATTTAGTTCACCTCTGTGCACACTTCTCATATGTTGGGGCTGCCCAGTGAGTACTTGCTGAGGGAAACTGGAGGGCGACTTGCAGGTCAGGTTCACTGAGCCTGAAAGTGAAGCAAATTAAGACGGCAAAGTGCACAAAACTGGCTGAAATATATGACCACACTGGGGAAACAAACATCCCTGGCCTCTGTGGAGGCGGAACACAGTCGCTGAGGTCTGCGAATCAGCGGCACCCACCTGGCCAAAGCATGCTCAGCATCGGGCTTCGTTCTCCCATGGTGCTTCCGTGGCGAGGAAGAAAAGCTAGACGTACTAACAGGGGCCAGCTGGAAACCACAGCTACATTTCTAGTATTGCTTTTCAGCTGGAATCCCGAAAGAACTCTGAGGTCATATAGAATGTGGCATTGTCAGATGGGGCCTGGGTGGGCCTGGTGTTAGAGGATCTGCCCAAGGTCACGGTCTGTGGTTGGGAGGGGAGGGTGTGATTCTCCATCCCCTTATCTCTTTGTGCCATACTTTTTGCCCTGTACACACATGATCATCCTCAACATCTTAAATAGGTTCTCCCACATAGCTAAAATTGTTATTGGGCATCTAAACTATGCCTAACTTAGCTGAATATTTGACCTTTGCCTTTAAAGGATCTATAAGCTATTGGGATGAGACCAGGGAGAAAAAGGAAGACCATAGATAACTCAAGCATAATCTGCCATCCAATAATTTCATGACATGCTTATGCTTGGAATAAAGTTGGCTGTTATCAGGAAACTGTCCCACCATCTGTTTGCATTTAGAGACCTCCATTGCTATGGCCTCCATTGTAATGGGCTGTCATTGGGTTTGAAAAAACTCTACATGTTGATTTTGATGGCAATAGAAGAGTCAACTGTGCAAGCTGGAGCAAGGTGCTCACCAAAGCTGGGCCTTTCCCCTTTCTCAGGAACTGGCAGCAAGAGCAAGAGTTAGCTTCCTGAATGTTTGCATTTCAAACAGGCAGCTCTCAGGTCTTTGAGGAGACAATTCTGGGTGTAGATTTACACTTCAAAGGTGGAGAAAACATTTATAATTGCAAGCTTTCTAAGGTTCTAAGAGGGGATTCAGGGCTCTACCTGCCCATCACCAGGTTTTGCCTGAAACAAACGGTTAAATTCTCCTTGCAAGTGAGCTTTTTCAGGCAGTCATTTTAAGGAGGGCTGGGATCATCTGAGGGACACCCTTGTGCTGCTGGAAGCCTCGCTGGAGTTTGGTCCTGTCTTTGGACAGGGGTTTGCAAGGAGTAGTTAAGTACTGCAAGGCCTGCCTTCTCATGACCAAAGCTCACAAATGCCCATTTCTTTCTTTCTTTCTTTTTAATATTTAAAAATCTTTATGTGTCTCTTAACACCTCTTGGAAATTTCCATCCCTTTCGAACTATGTTTCAGTAAACAAAACAAAGTGTGGCCTGGCAGCTCAGGGGAGTCTCTGGGTGAAGGGGAGATGAGCACACAAATGTTGAGAGTTTGAGAACCCCTGGCCTTGATCTTTATAATAGTTGGTCAAGTGGTCATCAGTGAAATCCACACGGATTCCCTGAGAGTGTACAGCTTTGGCATGACGGTTGTAATCTGAAGGAGAAAGTAGAACTTTACATATGAGTACTGAAGAAGCTTGAGACAAAGTCTTTCTCTGTCACCCAGGCTGGAGTGCAGTGGGGCCATCTTGGCTCACAGCAACCTCCGCGATTCTCCTGCCTCAGCCTCCCGAGTCGCTGGGATTACAGGCGCCTGCCACCACGTCCAGCTAATTATTTTTTTCTTTAAAAAGTACAAGTAGCATTTTACTTTTACTTTTGCAAAAAGTAAAGAAATGGTGTTTTGTTGCTAAAATTAAACTGAAATAAATTTTGGATTGTAGAATATTCGTTAAAAACTCAAGTTTCAATTTAGTTAAAATCCATCTAGTGCTGTAAGTGTGGCTGTTGGCAGATCTCTTTTTATTTATTAATTTTTATTTATTTATTTATATTATTAATAACTAATTTTAAAATTATTATTCATGAGCCCTTTCCCATGACAGCTTCTTGGAAATTTACTTCCCATTAACCTAGTATTGTCTCTCAGGCATTCTTATTAAAGTTCTTCCTCTCATTATTCCCTTCTTCACCATCATTCCTAGGTTAGTTACAGAGAACTAATTTAATGACCCATTTACTCTGAAGGCAGGCACTAGAATTGAACTTCTTTCTGAGGCCTTAAGGGATCTCACCTCCTTAAATCTCTGTTTTCCTACTCCTACTTCAAATATTATTGAGACATTATGTTTTCTTTCTCTACCTTCAGATAGTTTACCTTCATTATCAACAGGTCCAGATCTGCCTAAGCCCTCGGACAAGCCTGCAAACAATCATCGAATCAACATTTGACTAATACCTTGCAGATGATCCCAGGCACCACTGTCTTAACCTGTGAAAACCGCAAATTCTTGGCACAAACAGCTTCTTCTGCACGCCCCTCCTCCTCATACATACACTAAGAGACTTGGCCAAATTCCAACACAGCCTCTATCAGCTCAGAGCCATGCCCCTAGGAAGCCCCAGCCCCCTCTAAAACACCTGCTTGGGAACATTCAATTCTGCCCAAAGAATTTACTGTTTGTCCCACCCAAAACCTGACTATAGGCCCCTGACCTCCCATTTCTAAGAGCCTTAACTTTAGAAAACTGGCAGTGACCGGGCGTGGTGGCTCACGCCTGTTATCCCAGCACTTTTGGAGGCCGAGGAGGGTGGATCACGAGGTCAAGAGATCGAGATCATTTTGGCCAACATGGTGAAACCCGATCTCTACTAAAAATACAAAAATTATCTGGGCGTAGTGGCAAACACATGTAGTCCCAGCTACTCGGGAGGCTGAGGCAGGAGAATCGCTTGAACCTGGGAGGCAGAGGTTGCGGTGAGCCGAGATCGCACCATTGCACTCCAGTCTGGCAACAGGGTGAGATTCCATCTGGAAAAAAAAGAAAAAAGAAAACCTGCAGTTATAAACCTTTTATCTGATCCTTTAAATCTCCTACAATATGGAAATGTCTTTCTGAAAGACTTGGGAGCCATCTCTTTGAACTATAATGATCAAGAAGGATACAGGATTGTCTCCTGGTCTCTGTCTCTGCGTAAGAGCCTAGCTTTGATAAGCACTATTAACAAACGCAGATGGCCTCATCACATTGACCAGCCTCTCCCCAAACATCAGTCCATGCTCTTCCTTTAGCACACTCCAACATTTGCAAGGCCTCTTGCTTTTTGTTTCAGTGGAATTGAGGCTTTCTAACGTACTATAAATTGATATGTCTACTCATTGATTAGAAGACAGAAACTAATCACTGGATTTCATTATCAGGCTGACTTTCAGGATTAAAAGCAGCCTGTGGTTACAGCTGCAACATCTTTCTGTTTCTAAGAAAAACAGGAGAGTTTTGTCTTTGGCCCCTTTGGACCTCACTGATTAACAGAAAAGAGAGAATTGATCAGTTTTGGATGATACAGCACAACTCAGTTTCAAGTTCCAGGCAAAGAAAGCAATGGTTATTTTTCACTCCAGAAAGTGAATCATTCTTTGGGGCCACAAAAGAGAAGATTTGAAGAATAAGGAGGGACATCTAGAAGGTGGCTGAGTGTGCTCTATCGGGTTAAATTAAGCTATTTTGTTGCTGTTGTTGTTGTTGTTCAAATAGCTTCCCCACACAGTACATTTCATATCTGAAGTGCTGTTCCCTCTCCCATCATTTTATTACAAATGCAATATCTGGCTGAGAACCTCTTTCTTGCCCTCCTTCTTACTGGTTAAGACACAGACAGTCCTCTCTTTGCACAGCAGTGCAGGGCCATAAAAATCACTATGTAAACTGAACATCTGTAAAGTGACCTAAATAATCCATGTGAAACTTTGACTGTTCTGTGTCATTTAAAAGTTTTGGTCAAAACATTAAAAATCTCTTACTGTTGGTTATAAATGTATAAAGAAATCAAACATAGTGAAATCAGTACTTTTTTTTTTTTTTTT